ACACGAACGTGTCTATATCGTGAGAAGTAAGCAAAAACAGTACTGAAACCTGCAAACGTGACGTACTGAAACCTCGCGCTTGCCGCCAATGGTTAAGACTGGCCATATTTGCGTACATATAATAAATCCTGTAACACACGAAATGTTCAGAAGGCACAGGAAAGAGCGGGCATGAAGGCCGCACCAGTAAGAATAAGGTGGGTTCTGTCCAGTGTCCCAGAGACGAGGGTACGGGAACTTGCGATGGAAACGGCGTTCCGCTTTTGACTCGTCGTCGACGCTATCAAAGCCGACCACACGCTGTAGGAAAACGTGGAGGTCGGGGTGCGATGTCGAATCTTTGGTGACCTCAAATAGCGGCCGGAATACATCTGAGGGGTGTTCAGACTTACTGCCACCAACGGGTACGACGACCTACTAATAACAATATCCTCGAAAGTATTGACAACACCATTTTCTTTGTACACATTGTACAATCGTGGCACTTGAATGAGCCAGCGAACATTGTGCGAGAATAACTTGTTGTTGATCACCCATTTGGCAACATTGTCCCACTCATCCACGGATCTCCCATATATACTAATGCGCCATTCGCAATTCTAATAGAATGTAAGCACTGCAATTCAGGTATGCAGACATCCACGCTTACTTGATACTTGCTCTGTTCCAGATCAGTCATAACCTCTGCAAAGCAATTCGTGATCCGAGTCCACTGCATGAGAGGAGTGCGCACCTTGAGTGAGTTCAGCAAAATATCGTCCGTCAATACGATTATCAATCTTCAGGAATATCTCTCGAAGCCTAGATTCTCCGATTGGGTTGTATTTGAGGTTAAACTTGTCGAACCGGTGAAATGAGTCTTGGTGAGCGTGCATGTCAAGCGTGTCGATGGAGAGGTCGTAAGCGCTCAATTTTAGCGACTGGAAAACTTGCTCGAGGGTCAACTCGGCCCCATCGCGGAAAATGACAATGTCCTAAAGGTCGCCGACATCGGCGTAAGTCTCCAGGAAGAGATAAGGAGACTCACATGCGAACTACGTTTCATCTTTGATTTGATGAATCGCAACAAATGTTTCTGGTTCATGCAACTGGCCAAATGTACGTGCGTGTCCACTTTACGGACATTATAAAAATCCCTAAAAGTGCCTGTCAGGGACGCCTAATATGAATATGATACAAGTCTGACCTATGAGACACACTCTATGAATCGTAATGTGAGCTCAATACTATGAGTTGACGAAAGCTGCGAACTTTCATGGCCGCCAACTCTTGGGATTCGTTGAGCAGGCTATACAACTCGAATTTACTTGCAAGATATTTCAGTCTCCGATACGCTACACTTTTGGCAGGACCGTCAGATATGACCTCGAGAACGTAGTCGAGATCAACAAAGTATTCCCTGACAGACGGAATGTCAAAGAGTGGCTGTGTGTCTGGGGTTCATGGCATGTTGTCAGATACTATGGCGGGCAGGACAACCCTGCGCGCACCTGCACCAGCAAGCACCTGGTATACTCCCTTGTCGTCGATCTCAAACTCCCATGACTGTGGCCCCGGTATCTGACACTTTGTAAATTCAAACTCATCGTCCCTTGAAGCGACATGACCGTCAGCAGTAAATACATCTTTCTTAACCGAAAAGTGCCAATGCGGAGGTGGGGGCCTGGGATATATCTCCCAAGGTTGGTATGGACTCTTCAGTGCATGGGCGTTGGTGAAGTCGACGTTCGGCTTTACGCATGAGACGTCTGCGAATCCTTCGACTATTCCTCTGAAATGACCGTCATGGTCTCTAGGGTTGTCACCGAGTCTCTGCAGAGATTTAGTTATATATTTGTCGCGTAGTTCGAGGCATCGTTGGAACAGCTCGAAAGTGCGTGCCATCTCAGGTGTGATGGAAGCCTGCACTGGAATGCGCCTCAGTTGTTTCTCCTTGTTTGAACCGACACATGAAACCCGCACTTTGCAGTTGTGGCTCGGCAGTGCGCACTTTATCTTCGTCCTCGACGAAAGGTGATGCAATCCTCTGCTCCTCGTTCATCTGTGGCTTTAAGGCCGCGCGAATTGCTGAAAGCCCGAAGCCCCCCGCAATTGATGGGGTGCTGTCCGAGAGAACTGCAGAGACGTCAGATGTGCGCCGATGAGCCCATTTTTTCTCTTCCATCTGGTCAAGGGGAGAATTACAGGTTTGGCTCTGATTGGAGCCGATTAGCAACGACGTACTTGCTGCAGGCTTTTTTCGTCATTATAACCGTAAAACCCGTCTCTGGACTCGGGAATAAGGAGTCCAGAGTGCGGTTCGACGACATCGCTGGAGGCCCTGGATGTATCGTTGGCAACGATGCTCGGTACACTATCAGCCATGGGTTAAGGTGATGAACCACAACCGTTAAGGTGACTCGTCGCGCCAGATGAATCGATCACGTGAGGTGGATCATCGACGGAAATAATAATAATTTGACATATCATATCTGAATAATAATAACGTTATTAATGCTATCACAACAGCAGTATTCAATCGACTTGTTCTTTTACGTCCATTGAGCACACTGTTGACGACGCAAAACTGAGGCGCAAAGGAGTCTTCGAGGACGGGCGCAACGATCAGCGGGATGGGAAACACATCATCCAACACAAACCACAACCGACTGTCGGCAGTCCCAACTAGGCGAATCGATTCGCCTAGTCGCAGACACCCTCAGTCTCATTCACCGTCTCCTAACCCCAATCAGCCTCACCCTTCCCTACGTACCAAGAAAAAATCTCTCGAACTGCCAGATCTTGCGTTACTGTCTTTGACCCCTGTACACTCTCATCACGGCTCTGCGAATTCATCTCCCTTATCATCGTACCGTCGCCCACCGAGAACTACTTCCCCGATACCGATACCGATACCAGCTTCTAACAATGGCACGATGAATAATGCCTCAAACACCGGCACTTCTCCTCGTGGTAGGCAACCCAATGTAAAACAGAATATCGCACGGGACACCAATACGTCCAACTACTCTGCAGAATTGTTGCTTGATCAACCTCCGTCTACTCATATCCCAGTTCACCATTATCATCACCGCACTCGCGGTAGCCCTTACTTTCGAGGCGCTCCCCTGCAATACAATTCCACACATTCATTTGTTTCCCGTGGTCAGGGTGCCGCGCAACCCCGCATGCAAGAGCTATTCGCGGAGAGCCCGATCGAAACATCAACGCAACCTGATCGACAGCAGTTCGTTCAGGAGACCGTTCATTCGACAATCCCCCTAGCACTACATAGGGCGGAGGAAGAATTTGCGGCTGCCACCACCAATGATATGAATGAAAATGGGCAACCCATTCCTAATCGTCCAACCCCTCCCTTTGATGAACCAAAAGAAACTGTGAACGTCAAAATCACCTGGCGTGGAGGAGGGAAATCTGTTGCCCTTGCCCGCGCGGGCGATGACAACTGGAAGGGCCGCCAATCAATGGAGCCAGAGTGTGTACATTTTGTACCGATTTCCCTCGTCTTGCTGATCCATAAAGCAGTGATCCCCCAGCGGATACTTCATGGTCCACTTGGGTATCCCTCATGCCTGGGACACATCATATTCGCTTTGTCGTCGACGAGCAGTGGCGCTTGGCCGAGGACCTCCCAACCGCTGTTGATGACGAAGGCAGCCTGGCGAATTATGTCGCAGTCCCAATCTCTGGATTGACACCACCTCATCCTACAGTCGCGCCTGCCACACCCGCAAAACAGGCCATTCAAGCACATGTACATTCTTTCTGGTCAACCACAACTTCTACTCATGGCTCCATGATCGACGTCCCTTCCGCTTCAGACCCCACCAGATCCTCGTTTAAGTGGACAGACGAAATTCCTCCTGGACTTGTAGCCGCTGCTCATGAAGAGGAGGCTTATCTTGCTTATACCGCCGCTGCAGAGTATGACCAATCAGGCTATGCTAATAGTCACCAGCCACACGTTCCTGCGCCAAATATCCCTCCAGCTCCGGTTCTCCCTAGGCACCTAGACAAATTGATTTTGAATACTAAAGTGGGACAACTCCAACCGTCCATAAGGGGCCGCGAGCGAGAGCGCGAGAGGGAACGGGAACGTGAGCACAAGCGGAAGCACGGGCGATCACTGCTTGGTATGACTAGCACTGTTGCACGCGATATCTACAAAGACGATAAAGCTGGGGAGGTGGAGCGTCCGTCAATTCCTATCACCACGGCGAGCGGAACAGATGTGACCCACCTTGCACCTCCATCTCAGGCTCACACCCGCCTCGGGTTGGACGGTCCTGGACTGTCGGACGACGCCAGCGTGCTCCCTGTTCCGTCCCACGTGGTACTTCATCACTTGAGTACAAGCGCAATACGTAATGGTGTGCTCGCTGTCGGGAACACAACACGTTATCGCCAGAAGGTAATCCTGCATTATGTGCATTTGTCCTGTATCATAACTTACGAACATGGCAGTATCTCACGACCATCTACTATAAACCTACTTGAGGTGCACAACTGCGGTTGCCATGCTAGACATGGCTAGAAGCCTCCTTCACAAATAGGTCATTCATCTGTTTATCCATGCAACCAGTTCGTCGCTTCTTGAGGGTTCTTTTAGACTGTCCATGATGAATGGCCAGGTGTTCCGGTCCAACACTTCCAGGTCATTGGTCTACGCCATGTTCATGTTCCATGGCGCTCAATCACCCGCACGTTCACCTACAGCGAATTCCTAGAATACTTGACACATTTCTCTCGCACCAAGACAGATATGACACTTCGCAAGATAAGTCTTGGTGTGTATGTCATGCCTAATGCTCCTTTTGCTTCGTCTGTATGTTGTTCCTACACCATGGACAGGTTGATTGTTGTACCTATCGACATGCATAGACTACTCATCATCAGCTCGAAATTTATCTATGATATGTCTAGAACATACAATGTATTTGCGAACTTATCGTTGTCCTAGCCAACCAGCATGATGAAAAAATGAAAATAAAAAAACAACTAGCCCACCGCGAGGGTCGAACTCGCAGCCTTCAGATGACAGGGGACAGCCCGCCGTAAAAGTCTGACGCTCTGACCAATTGAGCTAGGCGGGCATGCTCCAGAGAGCCTTATGAAGATGAAGGTTCTGTCCGATCAAGGTGAGCTGTTGGCATCGACGTCTTCATCGAGGAACGATCGTTCCATCGTCTCACGACGTATTTGCAGCACCGAAAGCCCAAAGAACGCGGTCGGCGTTTCACAATCCGGCGGTCGCCGAGATCTACTAAGCATCCGAATCAATCTTGGGCGCGTCGCTGTTCTCCACGTTAGGAAAGATAGGAGAAGATCACGAACTTCCACATTCTCATAGACTCCCATGTATTAGCATGAAGCCGTCAAAAACAACGTGGGCGTGTGCTTGACGTCCACCGGATTGACAAGTAAGTGCCAGACGTGCGGCGATAAGACCTCGAGTCCGTGCTAACTTCCAGCAGCAGTGCCTTTTAATACCGCTTGTTTCAATGGAGCCAAAAGACGTTGTACGCGTGGACTACGACACACTCTTGTACTTGTATCGATAAGACAATGACACCCCGTCGACCGCACGCGGTGGGCGAATCAACTAGCGGAGCTCCTCCGTCTTGCTGAGACTGCACGCGTCCTACTCCCGGATCTGGGGTGTGGGTGCGGCATTCCCATGGCACGGACACTCACACACACGCAGGACACTAGGTAGTTGGAGTGGACATTGGCCCTGTGCAGGTCAATCCATCGAAAGTACTCGTGCCTGAGGGGCAGTTCTCCGAAGTTGACATGTTCGCTGGTGACACGGACTGCTGAAGCCGATATAAAGTGTCATCCATCTTGGATGGAGGGAAGTTTGGCGCCGTGGTTGCACTATATATGCCAATCCACATGCCCATCGAAGAAAAGCTACACTCATACAACAACTCGGAGAGTGGACACTGCATGATGATGGTTGGTTTCACAGCATGGTCGAGTGAGGTGGGGGGGTGGTTAGGAAGTAACTGGATGCTCGGATGCGATGGTCTCAAACTTCGGTAGATAATTACAGGAAGTGGGTGAAGCATGCAGGGTTTGAAATCGCGTTCTTCCTCGACCTAACCGCTAGGATGTACTATGTAGACAGCACACCATAGAATACGAGTGCGTATATACCGTGTCTGGCCAGACAACTGAGCATCACGTCCAAGGGCCCCCGAATTCGACGCATGTCGCATGGAGATTAACCCAAGATTAATGCACGGAAACTGAATGCTAGTGTGTAGTAATTAGGGTTCAGTTTTGCTTGCTGTGCTCGTTTATACGCATATCGCCATACTTAAATCACGTATGAGCACTAGGCATCCTCGTGGCCAGCGCAACCACGAAGCGAAAAAATGACAATACTGGTGAGAGTTCGATGGACTGGACTCTTGACGAACCGCAGCTTACCTCTATCATTCTTATCTAGGGAATCCTTCGAAAGTTTATTACTTTTGCGGTGGAATTTGTAACGCAGCGCAGACCATGGAAAGATCACCCGAACAGGCGAAATCGTGGCGACGCTCAACACACAGATTTCCCGAGATCACGGTCGACACGAGTAGAGAGGGGGATACAGGAGAGGGATTATATGATAATGATTAATCAGGAACAGTTAGGAGAGGGAACACATTGGCGAGAGGCGCAGATACAAGACAGATGGCAGGAGCCACAAAAGGTAGGGGCGGCGCGGCTGTGACGACAAGTTGCTGAAACTGACTCGACATCGTTACAATATCAGAGCGAGGACGTGGGGTTGCAGCGCACCACCAGAAGAAGGGTTATGGTTGTTAGCAATCCCGATCCCCTCGACGATAGCGATGCAGAAGTTGAAACGATGATTCGAAAGAGTGATAGCTAGATAGAAATCGGCATATCAGTGGTAGGCTCAGCGTCACCATCATTCTCGTGAAGACTTCTTCGTGTTTGACCTTTTCTTTCGTTTTGTCAGTCAAGAAACCCTGAGGACTTCGTTTCCTAGCTGAGAACATGTGTAACCACGCCCTCGCCACGTTCACCGTGTAGCTGTGACACGTTTGGAGGGTTCAAGAAGTGTGGTGGGTAGAAGGTCAAGTTGAGAGTATCGAGGTACTTTCTGGTCAGCTGCAAACGACCGTAGTCATTTGGAATGCAATGCAAGAGATTGATTCACGGACAAGTTATGTCGACCTCACTGGCATTTGGAGGGGCCCCGTATCCATGTGGTAGTTGACTCGAGAGTTGAGGTTCTGTTGAACTCGCTCCTCGCCGCTGTCAATGTCAGATCCAACATGGGTCGATCATTCCCGGTCTTCCCCGCGAAAGTTCACACAACTGGTGTCAACCACAACGTCACCGAAATTTATTGCTCAGGACACCGTTTATTCCATTCTTATTCTTATTATCCCTTCTTCATCCAAAAAGCTCCTCTAGATGTCGAGACCCACCCAACGCCTCCTTCCGTTCTTGCGCTTCACTGTTCGAGTCAAAGTAGCTACCCGCACTACTCTCCGCGCAGCGTTTAGCAAGCGCATGGTGAGCTCTGAGTCTCATGCTGGCCATTCTAGCCCTGGGAGCGATACGCCATGGATAGTGCGTATACCCTACTAGGAATACGTGCCAAAGAGGACTTATGCATTGCCCTTCCTCACAACTTGAATAGCTCGGGTCTGCGCTGGTGTTTGGTCCTGCCGTGAGTACACGAACAGCGTCTGGCTTTATCTCCGAACCGACAGCTTCTGCAGTTTCTGTATCTCGTCTCTCCGTCCGCGCGTAAGAGCTCTCACGGACACGCAGAACACGAGCACAAAGGTCACCATGTATGTGAAAAGTCAACTCGGAGCACTGACACCACGGTCTCATCACCTTTACAGGACGAGTATGCTGTACGCCACGTTTGTCTGTGCGTCGGACTTTGGGTGACTTATATACATAATTTCTATTCGGCCCTTGTAGCAGCATGCAGAGTCCCAGCCAGCACAGGAGACACCTTCCGAGTCAATGACCGATGACGAAGGTACCGAGGTTTCTGGAGAGGAGATCAAGGAGTCGATTGGAAAGAGCTTCGTGAGTCATACCATTTTTGTTCATCTCTTTTGGACGTCTTAGTTGTGCCCAGGAAGTTGACTCCCCGAAAGACGCTCAAGAACACGAAGAAGCCGTAGCGAACGCAGAGACAACATTTGCATTTTCTGAGCAGTCTCTATCCACCGATCCTCCCTCACAGTCAGAGTCGTCTACGGACGACAAAACAGATAGTGCATCCGAGGGAGCGGCGCCTGCGCATGAGCCTGAGTCTGCACTCTCTGAAGAGGCTAAGTCAGATGCCTCGACTAGCGAGGAGCAACAGTCAAAAACTGTGGTAGGTACATCCTTATTTTGGTAAGAGAATGGAGATAACGGGGCAATCTGCAGGACGAGAAAATAGAGTCCGCAGGGGAGTCGCAAGCTTGAGCAGTGAGTATGGGATACTAGTGGCCTTAGATTTGTGCAGGTCCACAAAATCAGCAAAATCTACTTGTTGATTGGATAGCACAGAGCCCGTCTGTTTCATGTTTTCAAAACCTTTGCGTTATATAAAACCGCTGTGGAGAGTGTCCTTGCTGTAACTGGGAACTGAGATCGAGATCTGAGCTAGGTCACGTGATGGACAAAATGATTGAGGACAATAACACTTGGTTGCCCATGAGTATAATGAAGGCGCTTGTTCGCTTTTAAAACAAGGTCAACAATGTCTCCAACCTTTATTCTGTTAGCCCTTTGGTCGTCTCTACTATTGCACGGCTGCGCCGAGCATCTCTTCGATCTTTCGTCCTCGTCACTCGTTTATCGCCAGTCCTTGCAGTTTCCTCGACATGCTTTCCGTGTTCAACATCTTGACCTGGCTAATTTTCGTAAATTTTGGTACCTCCGTCCCAATCAAGCCAAGGATCGAACTAAACCTAGCACATGTATCCTATGAGTTTGGTTCTATGACGCCTTCTCCCACTCACATCCCACAAGAAATGAATCCTCGGGCACTAGCTAGAAGAAACTCGACCACTAAATATGTCGTAGCTCACTTTATGGTCGGCAACTCCTACCCATATACTGTGGACAACTGGAAATCGGATATCTTGCTTGCACACCAGAGCGGATTCGATGGGTTTGCTCTGAATGTTGGAAGTGATAGCTGGCAGCCTCAGCAAGTTGCAAATGCGTGAGTGTCGTCTGTATCACTCCCGATGCACATCGAGCTTAAGCCGAGATAGGTACGAGGCTGCACAGCAGTCTGGGACAGGCTTCAAGCTTTTTATGTCCTTTGACATGTCGTGCGTCCATTCTCTCTCGAGCGCGATCCTTTCCTCATTCGTTCGACAGATCCCTCCCGTGCAGTACAGCCAATGACGCCGCTACACTCCGCACTTACATCACGACGTATGCTTCACATCCTAACCAATTAATTTACAATGGTCGTGTTTTTGCCTCAACCTTCTCTGGCGAGTCCTGCAAGTTTGGTCAATCGTCAGTTCAGTCAGGATGGTCGACGCAGTTTGTACAGCAGCTGTCCGGGACAAGCGCTGTCTACTTCGTTCCCTCCTTTTTCGTGGACCCATCTACTTTCCAGAGTTTCAATGGCTTGATAGACGGGATGTTCAATGTAAGAATGCCTATCTCTCGTTGTTTAACCCAGCCATAATATTCTGGTAGTGGAATTCTGCGTGGCCCATTCAAGTCACTACTTCATTCGCGGGATCTTTAACCAGGCTGATCGGTCAAATATTCCCCGGTGCAGCCTCTGCACTTAATCCGCTGTCATCGCTCGTCGGAGCGACGGCAACAGATCAGCAATACATTGATGCTTTGGACTCCATGAACCACCAGGAAACATATATGGCCGCCGTATCCCCTTGGTTCTTCACACACTACAGCCCTCAGACTTACAATAAGAACGTGAGTTACATAACGCCCGCAGTGGCATGATTTTGACGCCCTAGCGCTCTCCCTAGTGGATATATTTGAGTGACGACCACCTGTATGCGAAGCGTTGGGAATCTCTGATCAGAATTCGAGATCAAGTTGATATCGTCCAACACCTGACTTGGAACGA